TGACGATTTTTCATTTTTTTTTTTTATAATAAAAGCTCAATTTCTGCTGAGTTGTTCTACTAATATATCTATTATACTGAATCAATTTAGTAAAAACACACACACACACAATTTGTGTGTGTATGTGTGTGGTGGGTGTTTAAAAAGATTTTGTTTGACCAAGAAGGAATAAAATATATTTATCATTTGGTTAAATTTTGGTGAGTGAGTGGGGCTGACAACTTTTCAGCCCCTTCACATATACATATCCTGATAGGAATCAACACTTCATGGTGACTATGTCCACAGTCTTTGTATAAATCCTCTATTTCTAATATTGAGCAATCTTTCCTTATCAATATGCCCAATTTTAACCATATATCGTTGTTATCGGCTTTATCTTGTATCCAAGAATTTAATTTTGTCTTTGCTGGTTGTTTCCTTATGATGATGACACTGACTACATTCACCGTGAACATGCAAGTTCAAGACTAGAAGCTTCCACTTTCAACAAAACCTGCTCCCGTCATCCATTCCCTATCACTGTTTCGCTTTGCAAAAGTTGTTTGAAAGTGTAAAAAAAATCAGAGTAGAAGAAAGTGTCAATGGTGTGAATTTGTTTAAGTTGGACCTCAACTTCCTAGGAAGTGACCGACATATTTGATTTCATGACCTTTTCCTCTGTTGGCACATATAGAATGAGACAGGCAGAATTCAGTTATGAAACTGCAATGGACTGCCAGTGACTAGAATTTCAATTGGCACCGTCTATCATGCATAGGCATCTTCATCTACTGGTTCAACCGTTGAAATCTCTTGTAATCATCACCTGCTTGTTCCGTCGTTGAAGTCTTTGGGGTTAGTTGTGCTTAGTCTGGGTCCTTGTCTTCAACCTTGCCACCAAGGATGGCCCTATCAGGTGTTTAGAATTCCTGACTGCATTGTTCTTAGTCATTGGACCACACAAGTCCCTCCGCCACAACAAGAAGTGATCATCAGAGAGATACACATAGAAATATATATGCATAGACACACACACACACATATATATATATATATATATATATATATATATATATATATATATATATATATATATATATTTTATGCTGGATGTTGGAGTAAACAGTTCATCATCAAATGTTATATATATATATATATACACACACAAATGTAAAGGAATCAATGGACTTTTTATCTAACATTATTACCTACTATCTCAATGTTATTTTGTGGATAACGATGTTTGAGTAGATGTACCACCTTTTTTAAAAGTATGAATTATGTTTACCAGCCTATGCATTCAAGAGACTTAATAAAGAAAAAGTATTCTCCAGCATGAACTGGAGTCCCTCTTTGTAGGGGAAACCGCAATCTGGTCTAATGTGCTTTAGAATACTCATCCACAGAAGTCACAGCACAGCGAGGTTCAATCTTGAATGCCCAAGCTGGTAGATGTAATTCACACTCTTAAAAAAAAAATAATCAGGTCATCTACTCAAACATGATTGGCCACAAAATAGTTTGCTGCTGGAGAAATGTATAAACAAATTAAAACCTTTCTCATAATTAAATAGATATGTTTTTATTTAATCTACATTACCAGCTTGGAGTGTCTATTCCTGTACTAATGGATTCCTTTCTGATAAACGGCTAACAAAAAATGAGATAAACTGATCTACATTTAAGACAACAATAAACTTGTATCTGTTTTGTTATCAGTGAGCTTGTCAACACTTTTGAAGATTTCCACATTTTTGATAAAACTTTTCTAACAAACTTTGCGCTTTCTTATCTTAGGGTTGTTAATATTTACTAAACTTAATTTTATAAATTACAAGGCCACATAGGAGGGTTTTATGTTGCACTGCCTGTCTTGAAAATCAACATTGGAACTGCTGACTTTTAAATAGGTTCCAACACTGACCACAAGCACTGGTGGAGAAATATATGTTTCTTCTAATTGTTATCATTGAAAATATTATGTTCACTTGACATACTTTTGCTTAATACAACTACAAGGAAAAAGTTTTTTTCTTTTTAGTCCTGTTTATTTTCAAGTGGAAAATTTGCTTAAAAACAAAAATATGAAAGAAATGCAGTTCCTTTCTTACATTTTTAAAATGTAATAAAGTGTTATTTTGAAAAAATCTTGATAAAAGGTGTTTATATAATTACAGTTAAGCTGATGTATTTTGTGATGGCATGATTAATTATTGGTGATTAATTTGTATTTTTATTGAGAAATTCTCAATCAGATAAGGAATATGAAAATGTTTTGATATTTGAAATATTAAACAATACTCAACAAACAAGATTGTCCTTTTATTGTATTAGAAAATTTGGTGAACTTTACTCTTCATCATTATAGTGATTAAGAAGAAAGTGGAACACTACTGATTCCTGAAATCAGTGATAGACATAGAAGAAGAAAAATTCTCTCTCTCATATATATATATAATTTAGTACAGGTAATAAATCTGTTGGTGTATAGTCCAAGTGGATCCTAATAATATAAAATATTAAAACTGATCCACAAAAAGAGCTCAATGGATTTATTATAACACAGCATATAAATTACACAGCAAAATTCAAAATTACCTCACATGGGGTGGGGGTAGATCTATTTCAGCCAATGCGAATTACATCAGTCTTATTCAACCCCGGTAGATGAACTGTGCTCTGATGTACTTTGTGTTCGCTGAAATAAATGTCCCCTGAACATATGAGATAATTTTGGATTTTGTTGTTTCATATATATATATATATATATATATATATATAACTAAAAGAAGTGTGCATCTTGAATAAAACTGGAGGAGAAAAGCTATATTTGTTGTGCATATGGTTTGTCTATAGACTGCTGAATGTAACATCAATCAGCTAAATGACAAATTTTATATTTGTATGAATTATATAAAATGATAAAAATATAGTTTTAAGGTATGCTATATTTATGGGTTAAAGTTCTCACTCAGTACGAGAGATGGAGTGTATGTAAATATGAAAGTGTACATTGAGGTTAGCATGAGTAATGACAGTCTGTTTCATGCTTAATTACAATATATATATTATATATATATATATATATATATATATATATATATATATATATATATATATATATATATATATATATATTTCATTCATTTTTTAAACATAATTGCATGTAAGGATTTTTGTTTGTTTTTTCTAAATTTTCTTCATTCTGTCGGATCTATATCCATTTTTATATATTATATATATATATATATATATATATATATATATATATATATATATATATATATATATATAAATAATATAATATCATAAAAGGAAAACAATTTTAATTTTTTTTTGTTTTGTTTTTATTTACTGCAATAATTAAATTTTGTACTTCCTGAAAACTATTAATCAAAAAAAAAAAAAACTGTCATTACCAAATTTATTTGTGGAAAATAACAGGTATTTTTATTTTTTTATCAAATTTGGTGATGGGTAATGTCACATTTATCTATTTGTCATATTTTCTCAATTTTGTTTATTTGTAACTTGTGAGCATATCTCTGTACTATGGTCCATATAATAAATGGTCAACCCACGTGTCCCACTGTTTTTGTTTGGCTAGAATGATTTGCAGTATTTTTTTTTTTTGTTTGTTTCTATTCCTGATTGAAATATTCTGTTGGGTAACTATATCCATCTTGATTCTAAAACCATCTTGAACAGATTGATGAAAATATGTTTCTTATAAAAAGGCACTTGTGGTAGGATAATGGTTAACAAGCAAGTCTTTTCCCTGATATAGTCAATTCTATCTTCACCACGTATCTCATTGCTGCAGCCTTGTGTTAGATTAATCTTAAAAAATATCTTTTCAATTTGGAACACTGAAGTACATTCAGACATGATTTGAACCTTTGTATCTTTTCCAGTTATTTTTTTTATTTTTTTTGGCTTTTTAAAAAATTATTTGTCCAGTATTTGTGGCTTGAGTGTCTGTGCTGAAATTCAGTTATATTGTTATTTACATATATTCAATGAAAATAATGTTCAAATAATGAACACTGAAAATCTCAAACTACTTCTACTTCTGAATGTTGGACAATAAAAATTGAAATTTTGGATCCATTACATAAATAATGAAAACTAAAAATCAAAAACTAGTACCACACTCCTCTCCAAATATTGGACAATGAATATGTGAAATTTGTATCTCTCCATTCAATCCTGAAATATTGAACAATGAAAATCCAGGACTTGTTTCACACTCCAATTAATGAACAATAAAAATCCCAAACTTGAATTTCTCTGCTCATAAATATTGGACAATGAAAATCCAGAATTTGTATCACTCCTACCCTCAACCTGATGTTCACAAATATACAAAAATTGTATTATCTTACTTGCATCCAAATATTGAACAATGAAAATGGAGGGAGAAGAGATGGATGCATACCTTTCCAAATGGTATTTCCTTGTAAGAAGTCAACAGGAGTTTGAACTCAATCTGAGCTGATATCCATTACACTACCTTCATCTGTCTCCCTAAATATTAAACAATGAAAAATTCAAGTCATCTCTTTTAACTCTCTCACAAATATTAGACAATGAATAATAAAAAAAAACAAATTTTTATCACTTTTTGCCTAAGACTTATGAATAAATAACATTCCAAATGCAGTTGTGCGATCGATAACTATTTTGATGAAATTATCTTCTACCTGGAATGTTTGCTTCTCTTTTGGAAGATTTTTTAATTACAGGATTTAAGTTTGGCAAAGAAAATTAAACTTGGGACCAGAAATAAAAACATAGAATCTACTTATTTTCAAGTTAGGGATGATTTTTGTTAAAATCAAAACTTGTTAAGTGTTTTTTTTTTTTTTTTTTTTTAAGGTGTGATAACTTATTAAATTCTTTTGAGTATATCTCCTAGACTTATTATGGAGAAAGAAACCTCTTGTAATAATTCCAATTTATCTATCTATACATAGGCCCTTGATTCATGGCCAAGTGGAAAACTTGTAAGTACTAAGTAATTTCTTATCCCCTCCCTCTCTCTCTCTCTTTCCCTCTCTCTTTCTCTCTTTCCCTCGTTCCCTCTCTCTTTCCCTCGTTCCCTCTCTCTTTCCCTCGTTCCCTCTCTCTTTCCCTCGTTCCCTCTCTCTTTCCCTCGTTCCCTCTCTCTTTCCCTCGTTCCTCTCTCTTTCCCTCGTTCCCTCTCTCTCTTTCCCTCTCTCGTTCCTCTCTCTTTCCCTCATTCCCTCTCTCTTTCCCTCTTCCCTCTCTCTTTCCCTCTCCTCCCTCTCTCTCTCCTCTCTCTCTCCCTCTCCTCCCTCTCTCTTTCCCTCTCCTCCCTCTCTCTTTCCCTCTCCCTCCCCTTCTCTCTTTCCCTCTCCTCCCTCTCTCTTTCCCTCTCACTCCCTCTCTCTTTCCCTCTCACTCCCTCTCTCTTTCCCTCTCACTCCCTCTCTCTTTCCCTCTCACTCCCTCTCTCTTTTTCTCTTTCCCTCTCTCTTTCTCTCTTTCCCTCTCTCTTTTTCTCTTTCCCTCTCTCTTTTTCTCTTTCCCTCTTTTTCTCTTTCCCTCTTTTTCTCTTTCCCTCTTTTTCTCTTTCCCTCTCTTTCTCTTTCCCTCTTCTTTCTCTTTCCCTCTCTTTCTCTTTCTTTCTCTTTCCCTCTCTTTCTTTCTCTTTCCTCTCTTTCTCTTTTTTTTCTTTCCCTCTCTTTTCTTTTTTCTTTCCTCTCTTTCTTTTCTTTCCCTTCTTTCTTTCTCTTTCCCTCTCTTTCTTTCTCTTTCCCTCTCTTTCTTTCTCTTTCCCTCTCTTTCTTTCTCTTTCCCTCTCTCTCTTTCTCTCTCTCTCTCTCTCCCCCCTCTCTCTCAGATTTAGTGTTATGAATTTTTGACCACTAAAAATCTTTCTTTATCCTCCTCTTCATTTTTATTTCTATATTTTACAACTTTTTTCTTTTCTCCCTTTCTCCCATTTTACTTTGCTTTCCTCATCTATGATAATGATAAAAAAATAAAATTCATGGTGTTAGAAGCAAAGTTGAAAGTTTCTATGTTCATTTGATGTGAAAACATAAAAAAAAACATCTTGATCACCAATAAGTAGTGAAACAGGTTTGAGAGAGATGCACTGATTTATTACAGCTACAAAATTAACAAGTCTCTAAATCTTTCTCTCTCTCTTTCTCTCCCAGTCTTTTAAAATATTTAGTAATATAAACAACTCCTGTGCCTACTTAGTGTGTTAGTTATTTCCCACAAGTGTCAGAGGTCAAGATTCCTTTTTAGGTTATTTGGCCTTTTCCCAGACTCATCTTGGTATGATGGGGATTCTCAAAAGAAAGTATTCCCAATTTGACTCTCTTTACAAAATCTGATGAAACATTACAATTTTTATTTATTTTTGATAAGAGTTTCTTGGTTGGGCTGAGAAGTTTTCATCACTCACTTAATGTTTTGGAAATAGAACAGAGATAATGAAAAAAAGGAGGTGATCACACACACACACACACACACACACACACACATTCTCAAACACATTCTCTCATGCAAACACACATTCTCACTTTCTTTCTCCCTCTCTCCCCATACTTTCTTTCTCCCTCTCTCCCCATACTTTCTTTCTCCCTCTCTTGCCCCCCCCCATTTTTACAATAATTGTCAACTTTTGAGTGAAAATTTTGCTAATGTTTTTTTCTTTTTCTACTGATTGCTTTTACAAAATGTTTATAAAATCTTTGTTCAAAATCTTGTTCCTTCAGATTTCCCTCAAATGCTTTTAGGTATTTATTAGACTAAACCAATTCTGGCACAAGGCTATATTTCTTACTTACAATGGCTTGCAAGAACATTATGCAACTCTCTGTATAACTATGAATGTTTTCCATATCCTTCTCACCTAATTCTATTGAATGCTTGAATTGACTTTTGTGCTTTTCATATTAAAAACCAGCCTGGGCTGTTGATGTGCAATAATATGGCCTAACTTTGATTTTGATTGACTTTCACTTCAACATTGGTTTGGTCCTCAGAAAATTAAAAAAAAAATCTTTATTAGTTAGCCTTTTTGTTGTAAGGCAGAAGTTTTGTAAAATCTGACCTTTTGTGGCAGCCATTTTCACTTGTGCACTGAAAGATTTGTACTCTGTATATTTTGAATCATTGTGGGTTTGTAACCAGGGGTGATACTATTTGTGAATGAAAATGACCATTTAGTAAGTTTGGAGCATTAAAATGAACTAAAACAGATGAGAAAAATTATAATGGCTTAGACTAAATAGAAATCAACAAGAGAAAGTAATAATTAAGGATTTTAATTAGAACCTGTAAGAGAATAGTGGAATTAAAATTAAGAGGGTTTGAATAAAGGTTTAACTTATACTGGATTTATTCAATCCTTTTAACTAAAATTCACCCAGTCTCCTTCCAGCTTGCCTAACCTGGGGATGATATGAGTGTTTCTTAAATAAGATGTAAGCTGATGAATCTATATGAAGTTGTTTTCATGTTATACCATTGTAGCTATATCAGTTGTCAGCTGATATCATGTTAAGGAAACATTTACAAGATGTTACAGAAATTTTTTTGACAGTTACCCACTTGACAAAGAGGGTCAGCTACATGGAGTGAACTGAGAGCTGCGTCAGCAGAACCTGTGTTCTTGATGAATGGTTGGTCCTCTATAAGATAGTGGTTCCTATTAGCCTAAAAGACAGAGGACTGCTCACCTGCTGCATGAAAAGGAAAGCACACTTGCAACAGAATAAAATTTGTTGATTGCTACAATCGTGTCTCATGGTTTTTTTTATTTGTGGGTAATGATCTGCCCAAAGAATTATTTTCCTGGTATTAAACCACAAGCATTTGGCTGGAAGAAGCTGTACCTGGAGAATGAACCTGGCATCTGGTCTGAGTTGCAATGCTACATTATTCAGCTAATTCTACATTGAATTATAGGAGGCATCATAATCTCATTCTTGAACAACTTGTCAACATGAAGGTCAACCTGGTTTTCAGACAAAGAATCAATTTAGAGAAGATCAATTACAGGAAAGCAGTTTTTGCATCAATGTCAAGTTAAGGGATATGTATATGGTGAGTGATAAAATAGACGACCTACTGGCTACTGTGAAGCTCTATAGATCCTGTTCACTATTGAATGAACAAACATATTTCTGCAATATGTACATGCAGAAAATGATTTTTAAAATTTAAAAAAAAAACTTTTTATAAATTTAATAATTAAAAATAATGTTGGAACTAATATTCTGTAGATTTTCACACGATATCTTTCTGCCACAATTTCTTGATGAATTTTCAGTGCAAATAAAAACAAAACTCTTAATTCCACACTGATGTCTTTGCTAAATTCTAACATCAGTTTAACTGGCAATTGTTGCTTTCTACAAGTTTTTCATCGGAATAGATTTTTTTTTTTAATTTCAGTTTCTAAGTCATTTTGTCAGTAATTTCATTTTTCACTAAAACAATAAAGTAAAGAATAAAATCAAGTATTTATGCCCAGGATCTTTAATTGTGCACTGAAAAAAAAATGTTATGGTAAGGGACCAAAATTCTCAGCATTTTCTCTATAGACAAGGAAAAGTCTATTGAGAATAATTTTGGTAGAATTCAGTAAATGATCGAAAGCAGACAAATTTTTTGATGTTTCTATTTTTTTCTTTTGGTATTAAAAAACCAATGAAATCATTTCTTTACTTTTCCCATCTTTGCTTAGAAATAAAAAAAAAATTCTTGTGAACATTTTGTACTTTTTCAATAGAATGAAAATCTTGAAGATTTTGTTTTTTATAAGAATTAGTTGTTATCATCACTTTCTGGCAAATTCCTTTTTGATTTCAGATGTCAATCATAAATTTCAATATTTTTGGTAAGATGAAGAATAATTTCTTTGTCTCCTAAAATTATTTTCAATTTAAATAAATCGATCCATTTTGAAGCACTGGAATTTATTGTTTACTTTATTGCAGAATTTTTATTGCTTTTTATCATTTTTTAAAAAGACAATCTATTTATCAGCTGTTAAATGTAGCAATATCTATTTTAACTACCCAAACCATTGATTTTTACCTCTCTTTTGTCAGTCTTTCATGCTGACTTTATTCTGTGTAACATTTTTTCATCTTTCTGTTATTTCTTAGCTGATTTATTCTTTAGTTTTTGAAGTTTAGCAGAAATTAAAAGCTTCATGTTAGGCTTATTTTCATAGCCAAAAATAGACGTTACATTAAGCTACTGTGAAACCAATGAGAATCATTTTGTAGGAGCATATAAAAAAGAGGCTGGAAGCCCCTTTCTTTCGCCTGACATTGGTCATAAAGCTCAGCCTCTTTTTTATCTGTTCATCCCTGTTAAAAGCCATCATGATAATGTCTCCCAAAATGCAGCTTTCATAGTCAAAAAAAAAGAATATTCCTACAATTGTACATTTCAGGTATGAACATTTCATATAGCAAACCATACTTGTACATTTCTTTATTATTTGTTTGTTATAAATTGTTTTTTCATACTAAATATTTCAGTCATATTTATTGATTGTATCCAGTCTTGCATGATTTGCCTTTCTTACTCTTTCTCCCCAAATCTGCTTTCTATGACTCCTAGATTGAATAGTTGTGGCAAACAGTAACATCACTCGTTACTTTCAGATAGTGTGGCCACATCTCTTTGTTTTTAGTTTAGGGAGTTACCATTAAAAGCTTTAGTTAAGAAAACGATAATACCCACAATAGGTTTTTAAATTAAAATCTTCAATCGGAATTGAAATCATGACAAATTATTTTTTTTTTTTTTTAACCAATTCACCCCAAGCAAGGTGTGAGTGCCACTAGCATGCAAGGGGTTACAGAGGATTGAGAACAAGAGGTGTGTTTGAGGAAAGGATACAGGGAAGGACGGGGAACAAGTTCAGGGTGTCAGATGTCGGTTGACATTCAGTCAGTCAGTTATGTGCCATGCATGATACACGCATAGGCGATCATGTATCTTCTATCGAGGCAGTTTTTTCCCGCAGTAGGTTGCCATTTCTTTCTGCAGTAGACCAAGGCTATAGAACCAGTCAGTCCTACTATTTACCCATAGCTTGGGGGGGGGGGAGAAGAAGAGAATTCATACCTTTCCCAAGGGTATTAACACATAAGTGAATGTAATAGATTCAACTGGAATTTGAACTTGGCTCTCTGACTCCTCAATCTGAGCTGCTATCCATTATTCCCCCCCCCCATACCTCCTTGACATTACACTTGAATATTTGAAGATTATAGTCATCTAAGAAGCAAGTAAGGGGAAGGGAGTTCCATAGACAGGAAGTGCGAGAGAAGCTGTTTGAGTAGAAGAAACATTATATTTAACTGTTTTGACAGTGAAAGGGTGGGACTGAGATGCCAGCCTGGTAACTTGTTTAAGTTCATGCAGTCTAGGAACCAGCGAAAGAAGAAACTTGATAAAAAAAATCACTTTTTGGGGAAACCCTAACAAGATGGATGGGAGATGGATATAGTTATCATTTTATATAACCATTAAACTGATTTTCATAAAATTTAAAACACACATATACACGCATTATTATGTAATAAGATGAAATTAGAAGAACAGGCTTGTAGATGATTATGCAAGAAGGTATGCTTGATATTTTTTTTCTCTGAATAAAGCTAGAACTGCTAAGAAAACCCATCCATAGTTTTTCTTGTTTGTTAACCAAATCTTGGTACGTGCTTTTCACAGTTCCCTTTTTATCCTGCAAATTTTAACGATTCATTTCAGTGCAAAAACTTTTGCTAGACTATGGAGTGGGACGGGGACGTAGGCTGTTATTTTTTGTGTATTTGTAAACCTGAATTTCTTTTTTTTTTGTCTTTTAGAAGGAA